CGTTTCTCTCCTGAGCGCCGTCCGCCTCCAGGCCGTTTCTCCCCGGAGCGTCGTCCGAGCCGTTTCTCTCCCGAGCGCCGTCCGCCTCCAGGCCGTTTTTCTCCCGAGCGCCGCCCACCCTCAGGCCGCTTCTCTCCTGAGCGTCGACTGCCCCCTCCGGGCCGTTTCTCCCCCGACCGCCGTCCACCGCTGCCACAACGGTACCTGGATCACCCCATCGCCGGTTCACTGCCCGATCCGCTACCCAAACGAGCACGGCTGACAGAGGCTCCCCCACCTCGCTCTGAACGCCCCCATTTGAACGTGGAACGTGATCGGGTACCCATCCGCCGGCGATCCTTGGCCTATCAACCCGAGAAAGAGGCTCGTCCCGGCATGTTGGACGGTCTGACCATGGATGAGGTGCCAGCACCCACGCCAACACCCACATCAACTTTGAATGCACCGGCTGCCGCAGATCCAAGCCCAGTCCTGGCGAGCGTTTCAACTGCTGCATCTGATAGAACTTCCGCGGCCCCAGCGGCCGATTCCACCACAAGTGGACCAGTTCCTGCAGCAGCAACGATAACGAGCGCCAACCAATCTGTGGAGCAGCCTCGTTCTCGCACACCCCCGCCCAACCAACCCGAGCCTGCCCGTGCTCAACCCCAACCCAAGAGCCTATACATTGTCAATCTTCCGCGCACCATGGCAGGTAGGTTTACTATGCTTGGCTATTCAGTCCTGCCTGCATATGGCTGCCTCTCACTCATGTTTGTTGGGCTTCAGGTCCAGAACTTGAAGAGCTCTTGGCACGAGAAAGCCAAGCATATGGACCCGTCGAAAGTGTTCGTGTCAAGCTTTCTCGACAAAAGGTATTCGCCTTTGTCAATTTTACCACCCCCGAGAGTGCTGCCAGAGTACGTTATCGCCGCGATCCAAATGTTTCACTTTGATGCAGCACGCATGCCTCAAGATTGGTCCGACCTTCATCCAACTTGTGGTGCGCCGTGGCACATCCCTCACTTCTCAACTCGATAGGCTTTGGAAGGTCTTCCGCGCATCACCATTCAAGGCGAACATCCCCAAGTGTCATTCCAGACACATCAAACAGTGGACGTGAACAAGCTTGCGGTGACCCGTGCTGATATCGCCGAATTCCTGCCTCCCGGCGCTTGGGAGGGCCGTCTGTCTTCGACCCTGTTTGTTGGCAACGTGCATCGGGATACCACCGAAGCCACCCTTCGCGACATTTTCTCCAAAGTTGCACCGGTGGAAGAAGTCGTTTTACATGCTTCAAAGAGTGGCCCGGATGCCACCAGAAGCGCTCCTTATGCGTTTGTCCGCTACGCTTTCATCTGCGAAGCCGCAGCTGCACGCAAGTTTCTCATGGGGGCCTTTATTGATGGCAACGCTGTTCACATCAATCCAGGCAAACCCATTGAGAGCCGATTTGTGTGGATGCACAAACTCCGAGGCACCCCACTGCCACAGGATGTGCATGAGGTGCTCCAGGCAGAGCGCATTCGCGTGCTCCGCATTTTTGCCCTTGATGATGTGGGCGGGCTCGGCGTGGCACTTGAGCTTGAGACGCCGCGCGACGGTGTTCTGTTGCGTGATCGTCTCTTTGGTCAGCCTGTGGAACACCGCTCGTTTCGTTCTCCGCGCATTATGCTCGACTACTTGGATGAACAACACATCCATTATCTGGAAGCCAATCGTGTGCCCGTCTGCAGGTTTGGCGCTTTAGAGCGAACACCACTTGAGCCCTCCATTGATCGCCGCCTTGGCGACGCAGCCCGTTCAGCAGACAATCCTCACGCGAAGCAGGCTGAGCAACGCTTGGAGGCACGGCAACAACGATTTGCCCAGGCATCAGGTTTGCACTGCCTTGCACGACATCTCAACAGGTTTCGTAGGGTTGACGCGATGGACTTTTGGTCTCATTTTTCCCTTGAATATAGGCATGGCTCGCTCGTCGGCTCGTCCTTCAGATGCATTGCCGGTCCCAGGACGCGAGGAGCCACGTCATGAAGCAATTGCTTCAGCCGGCGAAAGGCAACCCGAAAGTGCACATGTGGCCCCTGCAAACACAGTCACCCCGATGGCCATTCCCACTCAACCTACGCGGGGAAATTCGCCACCTCAGCCATTGTCCGGGGGCAACTCGCCGCGCCCTCCAACCAGCGCACCAAAGGCACATGTGCCTTCCGTGGTGTGGCAGGGCCAGCTGCAGATCAAGAGCCATGTGGCACGCGTACGTGCTGTGCACATTTGGGGTCCTCAGGACTTGGCTGGAATGCTGCCGGGTGCGCCCGAGCCCACCTTGTTGATCAAACTTCGCAAGCGCTTGGAGAGCGTGGAGCAGCTTGTATCAAGGTGTTCCGAATCGCCCACACCGCCCCCGCTGCTCATTACGGCGCTCGAACTGGTGCAAGAGAGCCCGGAGCAGGTGGACAATCTCCAACGTTACTTTACACAATATCTGCAGGACAAGAACGTGGCAGGCCTCATTCCCATGCCCAAGGCTACGGTTTTTGTGCTCCCTGCCGCCGAACCGACGCTGCGTGCGGCACGGAGCGTAGCATCCGCGCATCCTGCCCTTGCCGATGGACTGAAGAACAAACTTCTGATGGTGGTCGATGGGACGCCTCCAGACGATGCTTGATCGCTTGCTAGGTCAGTTTTTATCAATGAAACAATTTTTTTGCCTCATTCGTTTGGAGCGCAGTGCGCCCTGAGCCGCAATTCAAACTTTGTGGATGATTTCTCTGGCATCAAATGCGTTGGAATTGCAACCTTCTTGGATCTGACCTGACGAACCTTTAAAGAGGCAGCGAGGCGCCCAGCGCCGAAACGCAACGACACACACTCAAAACAAGCATCAACAAAGTAGTAGCCTCGCACTATACTTCAAAAGCAGTGCCGAGGCAGGCCTTGGCAGATGGGAAAAGCACGTTGCGGGTGGTGGCAAGCGAGAGTTGCGCCAACATCTTCAAGCCTGCAGATCAGCAAGGAGCGCATCGCATCAGCAAACACCCAAGGTGGCACTGATCAATGGAAGGTAACTGAGCAGGCACAGCCCTTACCATAAGTGCCGCCGGGCACATATGCTGCCAGCAAGGAGGCCAAACATGCAATCTGAGGGTACAAATTTGCGTGGCAGAGATAGGTGAGCTCCTGGGGAATTGAGGCCCGATGCGAGGGGTCAATAGCAGAGTCATGCCTGAGCTGAGGCGCAGATAATCGTGGGAACCGTTTTGCGAAGGCCCATGGCACAGTAGAGGGTACCAATCATGGTTGCCAAGTACACGACGATGAAGAGCACGCGCGAACTGGACAAAAGGTGCCGGCAAAAGGCTGTTGGCCCTCGCAAAAGCGCCATTGCTGCGAGCATGGAGAGGCTTCCAAGTGTGAACAAGAGCGCAAACTTTCGTGCCTTTAGGTAGATGATGGGCAGCCAAAGATAGCTCTGTTCAGCAAACAAGACGCCCATTTGCTGGAGATGAGATGCCGTCCGACAGTGCGCAAGCTCAAGGGACCTGTGGAACGCTGCGTGGCGCGGCTGGCGATGCGGTGTGGCACGTACCACGACAAAGCAGAACATGGCCACGCCAATGCACAAGACAAAGCCAACCAGCCGTTGAGTTCGTGTGAGTGGCGGCAAGCATGGATCTGGCTCTGGCTCGGCAAACCATCCTGACAAGTAGCTGTTTGCGGGTGACTCCTCGCCACTTGCCCCTGCACCGCGCAGACCGATCCTGTCACTCTCCACACACGATATACAAATGCAACCACACCACCGCCCAGCGCAAATAGATGCCATCATCACCACAAACCTTGCCCTTTGGCCTCGCCTGGAGAAGCTCCTTTCCCACCACTCCCACCACTCCCGCCGCTGCCACCGCCGCCGCTGCCGCTGCCGTTCAAAAACTTTTTATACATCCGATTGTTGTTTTGCGAAAAAATAAAAAATAAAAAAACTTCAAGAAGCGGAAGTGTAATTTTTGATGCATTTTGACGAATTTCTCGAGATTTTTTGGATAATTTTAAAGGAATATAGCGACTATTTTTGAACACCAGTTCGATAAGATTGATGTATGGGTCGTCGGGTGCGTTCGGGTATTGCCTTCGCCGAGCAGGCACCAGCCTGCTTTTGCCAGATGCATCGCCGTCGCCATGCAAAAGGGGCAAAGGCGCTAAGCTTGCGCGAGCATAGAGCATTCTAAACTGGGTCCCATCCCATCCTAAAATTTAAAAAATCAAAAATGAAAGTTTACAAGCTTTTCCTTTCTCTACTTGTACGAGCGTGCTTAACATTAAAATTTAATTTTAAAGTTTTTAAAGAATTTCGAATTTTTTTGAGGCTGTCACCGTATCTCGTGTCTCGCACAGGGCTCGGATTCCGACGGGAAAGAGGCAGCCCCGGGCGTCCTATACCATGGCAAAGAGCTTGAGCCCAACAGGCGTCCTATACCGTGGCAAAGAGCCAAGAGCTTTGATCGCCTCATCAACGTCCAATATCAACCAATTATTGCACTACATATTCTCACTGCGTTCGTACATATAATTATTGCTGCAACGCCAAACCCGTCGACGCCCACTTTTTCTCTGGTTCTCTGGACCCTACCTCCTTCTCTGG